TATAATTAGATCCAAAACTGCTAAGGACTGTACTGCTAATAGTGTGGAGAACACTGATTGTCCTTCACATGAACTTTTTAGAGAGTTATGCAAAATAAATACATTTGACATTTTTGGTTCATCACTTGTGAGAGGCAAGGAGTTTAGTAACTCTATACATAATACCTTTGACCATATATGGAGAACCAGGGAACAAAATGAAGCTGGTTGGTTGCTCCTAAGTTCAGTGGACAAAGTGATGAAAGAAAATAATGAAAGGCATCCTATCTCCTGGCTTCAGAACAGATACTGAGCCTCAAATCTGCTAAGATTGCGCTGAGTGAGAGCCTTATTGTTACTGTTGGGGTCCTTGTTCTTAGAACTCCCAAGATGGTGGCCGGCCATTTCCAAGATGGCGGCAAGCCTCTTGTTCTCTGACCTGGCCTTCTTGGCCTCATGGATTCTAAGGAATGGAACCTTGGGCCATGCGGTGACTGGTACAGCTCTATTAGAAGTGATGAGTCACAGAAGAAAACCATGGAACCCAGCTACTTGTATTCAGCTCAATTAGGACAAACCTGGGACTTAGCCATACAGGAAAAATGGCGAGCCTTTAGCCTGATAGGGAGCGGCAGCTGGCATCCCGCTGGATCAGAAACGCAGTGGACACCTGCTGGATCTGGAGGTGTGGAAGTTAACGGCGGGTCTTCGATGGCGGCGAACAGCAGTGGTGGACGTCAAGTGAAAACTCAGCTTAAGCCATAACAAACATGGACCAGAAGATTGTGCAGTTGCAAGATTTAATAGAGTGAAAACAGAGCTCCCATAAAATGGGAGAGGACCCTAAGGGGGTTGTTGTTTCCAGCTTGAATATCTGGGTTTAGATCCCAATCATTGTCCCTCCCCCTGTCCCGCTGTGCTCTCAGGCGATAGATGATTGGTTATTTCTTTACCTCCTGTTTTTCCTAATTAGCATTTTAGTGAGCTGTCTTTACTACCTGATTGGTCGGGTGTGAGCTAAGTTGCAAGCCCCGTGTTTAAAGATGGGTGCAGTCACCTTCCCCAGCTAGGCTTAGGAATTCTTAGTTGGCCTAGGAAATCCAGCTGGTCCTGTCTCTCATTATCTCCTGTGGAGAAAAAGCTGAAATTGTGGAAAAACAGACACAAGTTTTTATCATGCGGGTGGCTGACATGCAGTGAAAGGTGCATGCACAGCCTTGCCAGGTGTCTACTGTTAAAGTGAGGGCATTGATTGGAAAAGAGTAGGACCTTGTAGCTTGGAATGGGGACGTGTGGGTAGACCCTGATGAAGCTGGGGACACTGAGTTTATAAACTCTGATGAATTTTTTTTGCTAGAAGAAATAGCTTCCCCATCCGCAGTAATAGCTTGAGTTTTCTAATTTATTTAAACAGAAATCTGAAAGGCAAACATGGGAATGTATATTCAGGGTGTGAGATAATGATGAAAGGAACATAGAGTTGGATCAGGCTGAATTTGTTGATTTAGGCCCACTAAGTAGGGACTCTGCATTTAATATTGCAGCTCTGGGAGTTATAAAATAAAAAGTCTAATAGTTTATTTGCTTGGTTAGCTGAAATGTGGATTAAAAGATGGCCCACTGTGAGTGAGCTGGAAATGCCTGATCTCCCTTGGCTTAATGTAGAGGAAGGGATACAAAGGCTTAGGGAGATTGGGATGGTGGAGTTGATTAGTCTCTTTAGACCTACTCATTCCAACTGGGAGGGTCCAGAAGATATACCCTTGACCAATGCCTTGCAAAATAGATTTGTGAGGGCAGCACAGGCCTCTTTGAAGATGCCCTGTAATTGCTCTTCTCTGTATGTCAGAGCTAACAATGTGAACTGCAGTCACTCAACTACAGAATTTAAATACAATGGGAAAAATTGGATCCCAAGGTGGCAGGGACCAAGTGGGGGCACTCAACCATCAAAGGCAAGGTTAAGTGTAGCTACTGTAGTGGACAGCAGAGGCAAAATGGCAATCAGAATAATCTGACTTGTGTAGAGCTCTGGCATTGGCTAATTAATCATGGTGTTCCTAGATGTGAAATTGATAGGAAGCCTACTGCATTCCTACTTAATTTAGGCAAGCAGAAAGCTTCTAGGTCTAATGGACAAAAGATAATTTGAATTATGAAAGTAGAGATTTGCAGCCCCTCAATTTTCAGCCAGTTTACAGATCCAGAACCCCTTTAATGAAGGGGAGGCTGGGTCCCGTTGAGGAAGGACCCCGCTACATTACTGACAGTTTATGCAGTGAATCTTTCTCCTATCCTTCTCCAAGGAGACCTCCAGCCTTTTACCAGAGTAACTGTGCACTGGGGAGAGAGAAATGATCAAACATTTCAGGGACTACTGGAAACTGGCTCTGAGCTGATGTTGATTCCAAGGGACCCAAAATGTCATTGTGGCCCCCCAGATAAAGTAGGGGCTTTTAAACGTCAGGAAATTGATGGAATTTTAGCTCAGGTCCAAATTACAGTGGATCCAGTGGGTACCTGGACTCATCCTGTGGTCATTTCCCCAGTGCCAGAATGCATAATTAGAATAGACATACTTAGCTGCTGGCAGAATCCGCACATTGGCTCCCTGACTGGTAGGGTGAGGGCGATTATGGTGGAAAAGGCCAAATGGAAGCCATTAGAGCTGCCTCTACCTAGAAAAATAGTAAATCAAAAACAATATTGCATCCCTGGAGGGATTGCAGAGATTAGTGCCACCATCAAGGACCTGAAAGACATGGGTGGTGATTCCCACCACATCCCCATTCAACTCTCCCATTTGGCCTGCTCAGAAGACAGATGGATCTTGGAGAATTACAGAGGATTATCAAGTGGTGACTCCAATTGCAGCTGCTGTACCAGATGTGGTTTCATTGCTTGAGCAAATTAACACATCTCCTGGTACCTGGTATGCAGTCATTAACTTGGTAAGTGCCTTTTTCTCCATTCTGGTCCATAAGGTCCACCAGAAGCAATTTGCCTTCAGCTGGCAAGGCCAGAAATATACCTTTACTGTCCTTCCTCAGGGGTATATCAACTCTCTGGCTTTGTGTCATAATTTTATTCAGAGAGAACTTGATTGCTTTTCACTTTGCAATATATCACACTGGTCCATTACACTGATGACATATGCTGATTGGATCCAGTGAGCATGAATTAGC